CTCTTCTTGAGGTCATGTGATATGTTGCTCCTGAATCAATGAGCCATATATCTGCAAATCTTTTTCTTCCTTCCACGGTGGTTGACGCTTCACAGCATAGTGCATCTCCATCATCTGAAGTGTTTGCGGTATTACCTTGTGGATTGAAGTTTTTATTTAGACTCCAACAATCCTTCTTCAAGTGACCATTCTTTCCACAGTTGTAGCACTTAAAATTCTTCTTGCTCCTCGACTTCGATCTACCATGTTTGTGACTGCTGCTTTGGCCACGTTCTGTTGATCTCCCTCTCATCGTTATCAATGCCTCTGCTTGTTACAGATTTACTTGTCTGTCTTCCTTGTTCTTGCGCCGATTTTCTTCTTGGAGAACAGCAGTTGCAACGTCATCGAAGACTAGACTGGTGACATTACTGTTTGTCAAGTTGATGATGAGTTGATCATACGAATCAGGTAGACTTTGAAGTAGAAGTTCAGCACGTTCTTGTTCTCCTATTGTACATCTTAAGGATGTAAGCTGAGAAAATAACGTGTTCAGTGTGTTTAAGTGCTCCGTCACTGAAGTAGATTCTGGCATACGGAGAGTGTATAATTTCCTCTTAAGGAAAATTTTATTGTGCAACGATGTGGCCTCGTACAATTTGGTGAGATGATCACATATCTCATTAGCTGTCTTCTTTTCCTCGATGCTTGACAATACTTTATCTGCTAATGCTAGATGAAAGTTTGCCATAGCATTCCCGTCCATTTCGATCAATTTGTTGTCATCTGTAAAGTCTACCGGCCTTTCACTGATAGCTGCTAGACATCCGTATTTCCTCAGGATGGCCTTCATCTTCAATTTTCACAATGAGAAATTTCTCCCATTAAATTTTTCAATATCAAATTTCGTTGCCATAGCTTCTATTACGGATAGCTCCCACTATTTCACTATCGTGAATAGTTCTCTGGAACCTTCAAAGAATGGGTAATATCTTCTTACTTTCTTATGTTGGAGGATCCACCTTTTGGTGGCAACCACAAAGACAATAAGCAGATATTACACATTCTAATCTAGCTCGGATACCAATTGTTGCGAAAGACGGCCATCGGATAGAGCAAAATCGCAACTGATAATTTGAGAAACTAAAAATGAAGATAAAAAGAGACACAAAATTTACGTGAAAACCCCCTAAATTAAATAGGGTAAAAACCACGGGCAACGGTAGAAGAATTTCACTATGAGAAAATAGGAATTACAACTTCTCTCAATCTACCAAGGAGAAAACAATGATAATTTTCTCTTGATAAAAAGGAGAAAACAACTCTCAAGAAACTCTCTAAATTCTCTCTAGTATTGGAAGAAAGTTAGAATGCTTTGGGATGGTTTTGAAGCTAAATGAGCTAGAGTATTTATAGTTGAAGCTTAAGGACTAATTAGTAAATACCCTTACCATTGTTGATTTTCAACAAATAGCCAACCCTTTTTGACAAAATTGGTGGCTGCCACTTGTTTATTTTTCAACAGGGAGGAAGGTAATTGGAGACACCGAGTTCAATAAACCTGTCCCGGCACGTTTCGAGGTTGGTTAAAAGCCGCACTGAGCCATGATTGACGGTCTTCTTTCTTCACATTGGGGCTGGAGTCAACAGTTTTGTTGAGACAGAATGGTTAGCTCATACAGCTTTAAACAATCGGAAAATGCAGCCATTTCGCGCTGGTTTCGGCACTTGGGAGCCAATGAATGCATGTTGGTTTGGGCATGAATGGCACGCTCTAAGGCCAGCTGCATGGAGATCACTTTAAGGAAATCGACCTCATCTTTGATCCATATATTTGTTTTTATCATTGCTCAAATAATACTCGCACGGCACTGGGTTCGGAGTTTGGCCGCACCACCATCTCACATCGTTGCTCCTATACCCTGACACAACATGTGAAACAAAACAAGAAACAACGAAGAGCGCTATGAAGATTTAAGGATGCGTTAATGCCATGAATGATGCTTCTATTTTACAACTCTCCTCTTTTTTCTCTCTTATACAACGCCAAGAAACTGCAACTAACATTTATAGGTCCATTATATTGATTTGATAAGTTTTTTATCTTCATTAAATGCAAATATATACGTACATATTTATCATATAATTCTTTCATCAATCAAAGTCTATTTATCTTATTTTTGTATCATCAAATCTGATTAGATCGTATTTTATCTTCATGTCACCAAATATGATTAGATGAAGATCAAAACCTATTAATCATACTTGAATCCCTTAATGCCCATTTACGTAAACCCATTGAACCGTTAAGCATCCAAATTTATTACCCACTAAGCTAATATGCACATATTTATCATGTTGGTCCAATCTCGTCTAAACCCAATCCATGTCCGTTTTATAACTCAAATAAACCTTATTTAGATGAAAATGATTGAGCCAATTGATCAACTTCTTAAAACTTAGGACATGTTTGTTTCATAGAAAACAAATTTCGTAAAACAATTTTTGTAAAATGAATTATATTTTTAGAAAAATAATTTGTGGTAATTATTTTATGAGGATGATACTTTGTAAACCCTTTTCCACTTGTTAGTAATTATTTTAAAAAAATTATTTATTATAAATATCGAATATAATAAATAATATTATTTATTAGAATATTATGATAATTTATTTAATATTATTATAAAATAATATTTCTGCAATAAATAATATAATTTATTATATATTACTAAAATAAGAATATAATATCATAATATTAATATAATAAAATTAAATATATTACAACATTGAAAATATAATATAATATAATATTATTAAAATTATTAATAATTAATATTTTATTAAATTGCTACTAAAATTATACATTGATGTTAAATACATAAAATGATACTAGAATTAAATATATTTTTATAACATCGAAAAATGACTTACGAAAAATTAAACTGAAATTTTATTGACCAAGAAAATGAATTACATTGATCATATATTTTCCATCAACCAAACACTGGAAAACTAGGGAATTTTTTTTAAATAATTATAGTGAAACAAACATAATCTTAAAGACAAAATTATGGCTTATTGGGAGAAATAAAATTCTGACTAATTCGGAAAGGAAGCGAAGACATATGACGTTGGATGAGAGATGCCCTATGTGTGGATACGAAATTGAAGACATCAATCACACTATGAGATTTTGCCCTAAAGCTTTGACTATTTGGGCAAAAGTTATTGATAACAAGAATATGGATCAGTACCTGAGAAAGAATATGGAGGAATGGATTATAGAGAACCTTGAAATCACTCAATCTCCTACTTCAAGAACGGAAAATTGGCCTACCTTCTTCAGCTCCATTATATGGTATATCTGGAAAAGAAGAAATCAGTATGTGTTTGATTCTGAAATGGTTGAAAGAGAATCAATCATACAGCAAGCAGATAGACTTACCCAGTAGATTAATAACTCCGAAACACTGAACTCTGGAAATAATCGAACTAGAAGGAATACTGATTATAATTGGAAAAAACTAGAGAATGGCTACTGTAAAATTAATACAGATGGATCCAGAAATCAAAACAATGGAGACGCGATGTGTGGAGCAGTCGCTAGGGATTACAATGGGGACTGGCTATGGGGAGTTGGCAAAAGAATCAGAAGATGTACACTACTGGAAGCGGAACTGTGGGGAATTCATGAAGGGACAGCGTGGATGAGAGGTGAAAGGAAAGTTATTGTGGAATCAGATAGCAAGGAAGCAGTGAACCTGATAAAGAACAAATCTATAGATCACAGACAGTTAACAATCCTTCAACATATTGAGATTCTACTCAAAAGAAACTGGATAGTGGAGATTGAGAACGTACCAAGGGAGGCCAACCGCGCTGCTGATTTCATCGCCAAACAAATGAAGATCCAACAGGAGGAGAATAAATTTCTGTGTATTTGCCCTAAGGAAGCTGAAGAGATTATTCTAGATGATAAAACGAGCACCTAAGAGGCCATTATCCTGTACTCAACTAAAAAAAAGATAAAATTATGAATAGTTTAAAATAAATGTAAAAATTTGTCAATTTTAATAAAATAAAGTAATCAAATTGATGGAGGGAAAAAAACTTGAAGAATCCAATATGTACTTAAAGTTGTAATAAACAAATGACAAGTACTATATTTTACTAAAATCTCTGATTTACAATTTACTAAAATCTCTGATTTACAATTTACAGCCACGAATTATGGTCGTCGTTTTCCAACAAAACAAAGAAGTATTCCTTTGTAAACATTTTAATTCACTAAAATGTCACGTTCTAGTCCCACATTAACCATTAATCTAATTCATTCCTATTACAAAGTGAATATTTATATTAATCTGCATCAATCCGAGTCATTTTATCTTATTTTTATATCATTAAATCTGAATAGCTTGTATATTATCTTCATATCATCTTATCTTATCTTCATGTTATCAAACATGATTAGATCATTAGATTAAGATCGAGATCTATTTATCAAAACTCTTAAAATTCATCTACATTAACCCATTGAATGTTAAACAGCCAAATTAATTATTCGTTAAGCTAATATGTACATATTTATACCGTTCATCTAATCGGATCTAAGTCCAATCCAAACTCATTTTACAACTGAAATAAATTTTATTTGCATAAAAATTATTGAACTAACTTATCAACTTCATAAAATTTAAAGATAAAAATATTGAAAAAATTAAAATAAATGCATTTTTTTAATTTTAATAAAATAAGATAATGAAATGTTCGATTGTACTTTTATATTTAGAACTGTTGGCGGAGGGAATAAAACCATGTAGAGTTCAACCCGCAACGTACTGCCCAGAATCATCGTCAAACCAGCCGCAAATCATGGTCGTCGTTTTCCAACAAAACAAAGAATGATTCCTTTTTAAACATTTTAATACACTAAAATGTCACGTTCTAGCTCCTCATTAAATAATAAATAGTAATACTTTCCATTAATCTTCTTCATTCCTAGTACAAAGTGAATATCTACTTTCACAGACCTCTCCAATGGCTGCTAATAACTCGATTATAGCTCCTTTCTCATGTAGTAAAGGCTCACGGCCTGTGATTCCAACGACCCCTTTACTCACTTTCCTCGAACGTGTCCAAGAAACGGCTTTCCAAACTTATGGGAGATCAAATTTTGATCCCAAAAACTACGTCGACTTGTCGTTGAAGTTCGACCTTTCAAGCACAGTGGAGGCGTTCGATCAAATTCCCAAGACAGAAAATGGGTTAATCTCGGTTAAGGATTTCGAAGGGTTTATAGGAAAATGGTTTAAGAGTGCAGGGGAAGACCTTGTGTATGCCGAGCCGGTGGATTTTGAACCCGAGCCTCGTGGGTTTTTGCCCCAGGTGGAGAACAGTGAGGTGAGAGCTTGGGCATTAGAGGTGCATGGTTTGTGGAAAGAACTGAGTAGGAAAGTTTCCGACTCGGTTCATGATAAACCCGAGTTGCATACTTTGCTTCCACTGTCGGAGCCTGGCATGATCGCTGGTTCCCGGTTCAGGGAGGTTTATTATTGGGATTCTTACTGGGTTTTAAGGTCAGTTTTGATTAAATGTTTTTAATTATGCTTCATAGATATCGAAATCCGGAATTTAAGTAACGTTCACAATATCCGTAACTGCGATAAACATGATGCAGAGGGCTGCTGGCAAGCAAAATGTACGAGACTGCGAAATCTATAGTTACTAATCTCATTTCGTTGCTAGATACATATGGTTATGTACTTAATGGTGCGAGAGCCTATTATACGAATAGGAGGTAATGCTTTCGTTGATAAAAATGATACCTTTTCATGCAAGAATTTACAAGCTTCAGGTACTTTTTCTGCAGCCAGCCTCCACTCTTGAGTGCAATGGTTTATGAGATATACAATAAGACTGGTGATTTAGATTTGGTGAGGAAGGCTCTCCCGCCATTGCTTAAAGAGTATCAGTTTTGGAATTCAGGTATACTCATTTCTCCGATGACCAATTTCTTGCTTGTTCCAACTTTCCCTGAACAGAGAATTTATGTTATACAACATTCTCTCATCCTTCAATCTTTCATCATTTTGAGTTTTTTTGAGTTTTACAATGATGTTGTAGAAATTCATACTTCGATCGTCCATGATGCTGAGAATCGTAATCACTTTGTGAATCGGTATTATGCGATGTGGAACAAACCCAGGCCTGAAGCTTCAGCTATTGTGTGTTCTTGTTTGCAACTTCCTTACTAATATTTTCATGTATGTATTGAAGGAATTTACCTTTTTTTTAACTTGATCAATGTATCAGGATAGACGATTTGCTTCCAAGTTATTGAATGTTGATGAGAAACAACAATTTTACCGAGAGGTTGCTTCAACTGCCGAATCCGGATGGGATTTCAGCTCAAGATGGATGAGGTTATACAAATTATACTTATATTATCAATTCGGTTAACTAAAGCTATGATGCTTTGTTATTCTGATTCAAGTTTGAGTGTCGGGTAGTTAAAAGTTAAATAATCGAAATCGTATTCCCTGATACAGGAATCCTTCTGACTTTACAACATTAACCACAACAACAATTTTACCTGTCGATTTAAATATATTCATACTGAAGGTATGCCAGAACTTCACTTTTGAGCAACTCCACGGATCATAACTCCATGGATTTATTACAAGCGCTGTTCATGTCTTGATATAGATGGAACTTGACATCGCCTTGTTTGCAAAACTTGTTGGAGAGAATGCCATTGCTGAGGAATTCCTCAGAGCTTCTCAGACAAGAAAGAAGGCGGTTGACTTTGTTTTTTGGAACGAAAACATGGGACAGTGGCTGGATTATTGGCTTAACAATGGTGCTGAATCCAAGGTTTGCGTCCGAATTTTCCGTAGTTTGTACGATGATATCAAACAGTTTTAACATTCTCTTAAGTTTTTTAGTGTTGTTCTTCTATCGATCTCCTTCAGGAACCTCATACATGGGAAGCTCAGAATCAGAACAAGAATGTGTTTGCTTCAAACTTTGTTCCCTTGTGGGTAGATTTGTTCAACTCAGGTTCGTAATTCTTGAAAGCAACAGGGAATACTCAAATGGTAGAATTACAGAAATTTTCATTTTGCTTCATAAATGGAAGAAAACTAAAGAATCTTTTGGTAAATGCAGATGCTTCTCTGGTAGAGAAGGTGATGAGAAGTCTTCAAAGTTCAGGCCTGCTTTGTGCTGCTGGAATTGCTACCTCTTTGACAAGTTCAGGACACCAATGGTTGGCATATCATTTCACTTAACATTACTTAAGATTCCAAAATTATTTTTTACCCAAAAATTCCTTTTCAAACACAGATAGAGAAAGCAATTTGACTCGAAACACAATACTAAATAGATTTAGATGGGATTGTTAAATATGACTGCTTATTTTTCTAAAAACTTTTATATATTTAGAATGTTATCGTTTTTAAAAGATTATATCTTTATACTTATATCTAAATATGTATTAATGTTGGGAGGAAAAACTAAAATGTGTACAGGGACTACCCGAATGGTTGGGCTCCGATGCAGCACATGATAGTTGAAGGTTTGTCAAGATCTGCATCAACAGAAGCAAGAAAGCTAGCGAAAGACATTGCTGAAAGATGGATCAGAGCCAACTACATTGCCTACAAGAAAACAGGAAAGATGCATGAGAAATATAACGTGGAAAAGTGTGGCGAATATGGCGGTGGTGGCAATTATAAACCCCAGGTATTATACATGTCTCATTCTTATAATGATATGTGTTGTTCAGATTTAGTGGCAAATTTGATCGGATACAGATATATGATCATATTATCATACTCATGTCGGATGGATCGAGAGGACGAGTGGGGGCAGTTGCCTCCTAAAAATTCAAAATTACCATATGTTTTAGATTTTTTTATGTAATATTGAAAATTTGTTTTCGTCCCCTAACATAAAATTCTGCATTGATCTCTATCCATATGTGTGTCAGATAAATAATTTGAGTCTGATTTTTCGGTGATGTTGTAAATGCAGACGGGTTTCGGGTGGTCGAATGGAGTAGTGTTGACATTCTTGGAGGAATTTGGATGGCCGGAAGATAAAAAAATAGAATGCAACTAATCTTTCGAAATAGGTTTCGTTCATAGAACAACAATATATTTGATGTTCGGGTACTTTTCCAACTTTGTTGTGAGTATAAAATAATAGTTGTTGAACGATCAGATCGAACCTCTTCATTTGCTTTGAATATTATTAATTTGATTTTCCTTTATTAAATAATAGTTCTTCAAAGAATTCCAACCTTTGTGGAATTAGCTAAACGTGGTTTTCCGTACTTGGAGTCTGCTGTTTGTGTTTTGTGCCATTAGGATTTTGAGTCGATTAATCATCTTTTTTGCCATTGTAAGGTTGTGTGGAGAGTCTGGCAGAGATGGTGTGGGATGCGGAATCTCAACCTTGTTGTTCCAGATAACGTTAAGTCTCTGCTTATCGTGTGGAATAGCCAACCGCTCCATAGCTCTTTTAAGTTAATATGGAAATTGTTTTTTTTGGGTTTATTTGGACTGTTTGGATATGTAGAAATGATGTTGCATTCAATGGTAGATCTTGCGATGGAGATAGATTGTTTGAGGCGGCTCTATTGTCGATCAATTTTTGGTGTAGGAATAAATGGCCTTCGGTATTTCTATCGGTCCTTGATTTTGTGAGATGCCCCAATGGTGTTTCTATCAGGTTTCAGTAGAGCAGTTGGTTTGGTCTCTGTAGAGATTCTTGTTGGAAGTTGCCATATCTGCTGCTCAGTTTTCTTCTTTCTGCTTTTTTCTCTTTATCTGAAGCTAGTGTTTATCTGTTTGAATCTTTCGGGTCTCGGTTTTGCTGGTGAGATGTCATGGTGTAGTGTAGGGCCTATGGATTTTATGTTGGATTTTGTGTGGATGTGTCCTTGTCCCCTGCCATCATTCCCCCGTTTGCTTTATTTGCTGATTCTGTAGACAGTGTGTATTGGTTGGTAGGCCTTCGGCTGTTGTTCATGTTGTGGAATGGCAGGCGTTGTTTCGATGATGGAGCAGTTGCTTGTTGAGGCATGAGCGACAGTAGTTGGCGGTGGGTGAAGGTTTTTGCAGTGCTGAAATTTCTGCATATTAATGACTATGTTTGGGTGTTTATTCTTGGTGGAAAATGGTTGAGTTAGGTTACTTTGTCAGAAGGCTGTCCAGGGCGGTTGTGCCCATCGTATGTTTTGTGTTAATCTTTGGGCGTTTTATCTTGGGGTTTTGCGTTGGTTTGGCTGTTTGTGGGGGTATCTATCCGAGCTCGAGATGATTATTGTACTGATATCAATATGGCGTGTGTTCTTTTCTTCCACTTAGAATTAGAAAGATTTTTTTATTAAGACCCGTATTATTTCTTCTAATTTTATACTTATCAATTAATAAAAGCATACAAAACATTCTTTTTCAAAAAAATAATATTTTTTCCTAATAAAACATCACAACCGACAAAGTGCTTGAGGTGTGCTTGGAGATGAAAACAATCGATAAATTATGGTTTGTTCCGGTTTGATAAAATTACTTTTAAAAAAAATGAATTTCGAAGTAAATTGAATCAATTTTTTGTTAAATTTTTTTAGTCATGTTCTACTTAGGTAAGTAAAACTTTCCTGCAACGTTATGATATATTTATTAAAATATTATTACATTTACAATTTTGTTAATAAAAAATTTAAAATAAGATACACCATTTTTATTTTTAGTTTTGAATGGAGATACACCATATTTAAGTTTGAGCCAAATTGAGAACAAATTGAATTATATTTAAATCGATATAATATGGTTTATAAATTACCACTGAATTAATCCAACCTCCAGCGGGATAATAAATTAGAAAATATTAATTAGTAAATATGAAATCCTAAACAATTTTATATTTCAAATTTTTCAACAAGGCATAATAATAATAATAATAATAATTTATACAGAAAAAAACTACCCATATATTTTTTGATAAGAAAAAAAAACTACCCATATATATATAGAAGTAAAACATCCTATTCATATATCCATAATAGTTGCTTATTCATTAATGAAGTGTGTATATATATCGATTTGGCCCTAAAGAAATTCTCCGGATAATGTCTCCGATGGAACCATTAGGCAAAAGAATGGTGAAATCGCAGCAGTTTTAATCTGAACTGGCATGATTTACATCTTTTGCACCGATTATATAGAATTGGGGAGTTCACTTTACCGGTAATCGAGTTTTACAGCTTTCATGCATCTGCTTCTCTTCTAATCCCGTTCTCTTCCGCACCAGACACGAACCTTAGTTGTTGCTGCAACTGCATGATGATAGTAAAATCATCAGAGCAAAAATATAAAAGAAGGTTACAGACTACATTACTCGAACCTGCGTGTCAGTGTCGGGACATGTGCATGTGTTTGATATAGGTATATTCAATTAGTTTTATTTTGAGGGATCTTAAAGGATTATATCCCATGTCCATGTTCCAAAATATGTCGGCCACTAGTACTTGAAGATAAATAAATTGTCAGAGTAACATATCGAATTGATGAATCAAGAATCGAGCTAGGGGGTTGTTTAAACCTAGGACAAGAATAGACATAACAATGGAATAAAGTAGAGAATTGTAACCATTGCAAATGTAATCATATAAAAGCCGGTAAAGAAACTCACTTGATCATGTTTCAACTTTTCAGCAGTCAGTTCATCACTCAAATTCATCATTCTGCAGAAAAGGTTTTAAGGGAGTGTGTCAGAAGAAAGTGAGATATATATAGGGTAGAAAGCATGGTAGAACTACTTTGCATCGATTTAGAAGACAAACCTAGATTGAAGCTCAGAGATCTTGCCAAGCAGTAAACGCTCCCGCTCGGAAGCTGCTGTTTCAGCCTATTGAAAAATAAGATCCAATAAGTGAAGAAAGAATAGCCCACAAGAAATTAGTGATCATAAACATAGATAAAAGGTTCTTACATTTCCATTGCTTTCAAAACGAGGTAGAGGAGGCAACTTTCCGTTTTGTGAGGCTGCTAAACGAGAAAAACGGATCACTTTACTAATAAGCAGTGTATTTACTAATCTAAACAGGTGTGACGGAAAGACCACTTTCACTGACCATCTACAACCTCAGTGGACTGTAAGGTATTCAACAAATTCACGATAAGATCCTAGCATTCAAAAAGAATCCCAGTGAGAACATCATTAATCATAACGCAAACAGATGTTCTATCACCAAATTATTGTCCCATGTTCAAGACTTTACCTGTTGAAGCGAAGTCTGCTGAAAAAGATTCTGAAGGTGAGTCATAACAATTGATACAGGCACATTTCCATTGGTTTCCTTGGGGGGATGATTGGTAGGCTGAAAAACAGGGGGAAATGATCAACTAATAAGCAAACAACTTTTATATGGGGTGCAGTGGCATACAAAGCAGGTTAACATGTTCCACTACCAGCTAGATGGAGCCAAAAATAAGATGAAATGAATTTATATTTGTTCTGTATAATGTGTGGTTTTGAAGTTATTACAAACAGGTATTACCCTTTTTTTGCATGTATCGTTATCAGTTTTGGTACCATACAGCTCATTATAACATGAATAATCATAGAGAACAAATTCAGTTGCGTGAGGCAAGTTTTTTGTGTTTTTCAGAAGGTGTGTGCCGCTGCGGCACTTCTTATTTTGTGGCACACCATATTAACCGGGCACACACCTTAAGACTAGATCTTGCATTTATAAGAGATCCTTAAGCTTCAAGATGTAAGGTGTTACAATAAAATGAAATAATACATAAATTCCCAATCAATTATGTTAATAGCAAAAAGAGTGCACAGACCACTTGTTTGGATTCAAATTTCCAGTCACCTACGCTAGCAGACTTTCTGAGAGGTGAAGTCTGAAACACGAAAAGAAACAGAGCGACCAATAAGAAGTTGCCAATTAGCACAGTGAATAGAAGGATATTAAGGAAAGGGCAACAACCCACCTGTGAAGATCGGCGTGAAACCGTAGTTAAAGGAATATCCTGAGCAACATTATTTGGTTAGTAAAGTTGCACAGAGAAATATAGCATTAAAATTGCCTTAAAAAATGGAACCTTACCTTTACAAGATCTAAATTTTCTGATGTTACTGAAAAACGACCTTTGATTTGCACCAGATTAGCCTTTGATTTTTCATCCAAAGAATCCCTAAACCCTGTTAAAGGAGAAAAAGGATTCTACAATATTTATCCAAAAAAGTGGCCAATGGTGGTGATACTAATGATAAAAACAAACAAGGATTCTAAATGTCATGACTTTGTTACCTCCTGATGATTTAATAGGAGCTGACAAGCTGTTTGCAGATGCTCGAGTAGGAAGCATCAATGGACCACTAAAGCTTGGTGCTTTACGAACTTGGCAAACTTTTTCACCAGCCAGTAAATTTTCATTTTCAAGCCTGATCATTAGCAGACCGTTAGCTCAAAATCTACAATTTGTACTTACATCTCTGATGATATAAAAATTATTTACTCAAGGTAAAATAGGTAAGAGATTGATAACATATGTGAACACATAAGCTGTAAATCATTTTCTTACTCATCCTTCTAATTCCCAAATATAGAAAGACCAAAGCAATAACACAAGAAACTATATTAAAAGATGTATATATGCAGGTAACCAATAAGTCATAACCAAATGCTCTGTGGAATCAACTCAAAGCACATTAGAGTGAAGACTTGTGAGATTGTCGCCTATACTTTGTTTTATTGGAGTGTGTATGGCAAAGAACTAAAAATAGCCCATAGCAGCAGTACATTTTTATGACCGCTTTGCTTTTCACTACCCCAACATTTGAACCATGTTAAATTAAAATATGATTCAACGGAAAAAGCAAAAAACGTGAGTAAAATTAAGCGGCAAAGAATTAATCTATTCTAAATCACAGAAGGCAAGATCTACTTTATGTTTGGTAGTTAAAATGATGATAATTTTCTACAGCCATCATATAGCAAATTGAGCCCCCTCCCCATATGTTGTAGTCTCTGTTAAACAGCGGTTTGAACCAAATGTGCTACACTTATGTGTAAACATCGTCAGGTAAGAATTAATTGGTGGGGTAAAAAAGGTTGAAGATCACTTAATAAACCCATAAAAGGAAGACAAAAATGGCCTAAACCTACTAT